TTTTTTTTTTTTTTTAAATACAGGGATAACAGGTGGATGAAAATTTGTACTCCCAAGTGAAGGTTACCCTTCAAAATAACCACTTTGGAATGCTATCATCTTATTCCAGTGATGACACAATTATTCAAAACCTTTTTTGAAATTATTTATTTATATATTGAGACAGGGTCTTGCTTTGTTGCCCAGGCTGAAGTGCAGTGGTGTGATCACAGCTCGCTGCAGCCTCAAATTCCTGGGCTCAAGCAATCCTCCCACCTCAGTCTCTTGAGTACCAGGGACTACAGGCACATACCACCACACCCAGACGATGTTTTTATTAACTGTTTTTGTAGAGACAGGGGTCTCACTATGTTGCCCAGGCTAATCCTGAACTCCTGGCCTCCAGTGATCCTCACACCTAAGCCTCCCAAGGTGCTGGGATTACAGGCATAAGCCACCACGCCCAGCCTGAAAGTAATTTAGAACTGGCTTTTAAGTCATATAAGAAAAATCAAGCTGGGAGCAGTGACTCATGCCTATGATCCCAGGATTCTAGGACACCAAGGTGGGAGGATTGCTTGAGCCCACGGGTTTGAGACCAACCTAGGCAACATAGCAAGACCCCGTCTCTACAAAAAAAATTAAACATTAGCCAGGTGTGATTATGCTCACCTGTAGTCCTAGCTACCTGGGATGCTGAGGTGGGAGGATCACTTGAGCCAGTTTGAGGCTTCTGTGAGCCGTGACCATACCACTGTACTCCAGTCTGGGCAACAGAGCAAGACCTTGCCATGAATAAATAAATAAGTAAATAAATAAATAAATAAAGCAAGCTCTCCTCTTTGTTACTGAACCAAACCAGGTCTATCTGTCCACGTGCAATGTAAAGCCAAACACTGAAGCACCAGATTCTTGTAGAGATAAAAGTCTATTTCAAGGTGGCTGAGCGAGAAGACAGGCTCAAATGTCTCCTCAATCTGGAGCCTGGAACAAATTTTAAGTGTGAGGGAGGACACAGGTATAGGTGGAAGTACTGGAAGGACAGATTTTGATCTGAAGGACTTCAAACAGTACCATTTATGGTAAGATATGGTAAAGGGTCTTATACCCAGACATTCCTGGGCTTGGACCCATTGCTTTTGTTTCAAAAGTGTTCCCGTGCTCAAGTTCCAGCCACATCCCAATCTTTTGGTTCTGCCGAAGGGCAAGACTTTAGTTCCAGGGTTATTTGAGGTCAAAGTCTCCCTTTCTGCACATGCTCTGACTGTATGACTTGCAACTTCTTGGCTCTGGGCCTGTAAAATAACTTGATACCCCACTATCAGCTGGGTAGAACCAGTTAGAACTGATCCAGCAATTACACTCTCCAATGTGTAGATCTTGTGATGTTTAAGTCTATAACATGAATCCAGATTATTTGTGCTTTGATGGGGCCACAGTGTCACAAATAATTCCCCTTAGAGATTAATCCAAGAACTCCTTCTGTTTTACTCATCTCTCTGTAGCTTGCTGATGTTACCTTCTTTTTTTCTTTGAGATGGAGTCTCGCTCTGTCGCTCAGGCTGGAATGCAGTGGCACGATTTCCGCTCACTGCAAGCTCCGCCTCCTGGGTTCACGCCATTCTCCTGCCTCAGTCTCCTGAGTAGCTG